AAGGTTCTTGCCACAGCCGCACTCGTCGCAGCGCCTGAACGTCCCATCGCCGCCCATGAACGAGACGGGCTGCTGCTGAGCTGAATGGTGTGCAGCGAGGAGCTGCCCCGCCGAGGCAACACGCACCAGTACCCGAGCAGCTGTGCGCTGCTCTCTCTTGCGCCTGTGCCAGGCGCGCTCCTCACGCCTGGGCGTGGCTCGCGGCCACCGCGCCGAGGCGCGCCGAGGGATGTGGGACGACCTCCCCCTCGGCCCGCTGGCGCCGCGGCTCGCCTGAGCCCTGCCTTGAGCCAAAATGGCCACGGAGCCTCCTCCTCCCTCCTCCTCCTCCTCCTCCTCCTCCTCCCCCTCCTCCTCCTCCTCCTCCTCCTCCTCCTCGTTCCCCCCCCCTGGCTCGCCGCCCCGAGAGGCCGCCCGTCCCCCTCTGCCACGGGGGCGGCCCGCCGCTCCGCCTGGCGGGCCTCCCCGCGGCTCCCCAAGACCCCTGGGCGGCGGGCGCTTGTAGGGGGCCGCGTGCGAACCCGACCCCTACCCCCCACGATTTCTATGGGGGAGGTAGGGGTAGGGTTCGCATGCGGCCCCCTACCTGGGGGGTCCGGGCGGGCGGCCCGCCTGCTCGCTCCAGCAACCCATCGCAACATACAGTCGGGGCCCTGAAGAAGGAACCCTTTTCGGATTTTCGGGAATGTCCCGGGACCCCGGCGGGACGGGCCGAAGCCCCAGGGGGAGTTCTTTTGGAAAGAGAACAAAACCAAAACCATATCATCCGGCACGCCAGATCGAAGACGCCTACGGCGAATCACCGCCGCCCCCTGCCTTTTTGGAAGCGCCTATGTGGCCGAACGTTGAGGCCAGACCTGCCAAGCTATCGGACCACGTGTTCCCCGAATCGGTTTGGAAAGCCTTCGGGGAACACGTGGGCATCTTGAAGGTCATCTTGGCCGTCTTGGAGGCCTCTTGGGCAAGCTTTGGGCGATCTTTGGGGCTTTTTGGGCCGTCTCGGGCCAGCTTCGAGCCAACTTCGGCCATCTTGGTGGGTTCCTGGCACGTCTGAAGCCGTCGGAAGCCGTTTGGGGGGCCTCTATGGGCCGACTTGGGGCCCGCTTGGAATGCTCCAGGGCCGTCTTGGAGGCCATCTTGGGCGTCTGGGAGGCCATCTTGGGCGTGTTGGAGGCCTCTTGGGCCCTCTTGGGGCCCTCTAGGGGCCATCTTGGAGGCCACTTGGGCCATCATGGGGCTCTCTTGGGGGCCTCTTGGGCGATCTTGGGGGCTTCTTGGGCCGTCTTGAGCCGTCGGAGAGCCGAAAAGGCGCAAATGCCAAAATCCTTCAAAAACCAAGGGAAAATCAATGATTTTGGCCTCTTCGGACTCTCCTGGAGGACCTCTTGGAGGCCTCTTGGGCCGTCTGGGAGGCCTCTGGGGGGCCTCTTGGGCCGTCTTGGGCCGTCTTGGACTCTCTTGGGCCGTTTTGGAGGCCGTCTTGGACCATCTCGGGCGGACTTGGAGGCCATCTTGGGCCATCTTCGCGATTTTTTGAGGATGTCCCGAGCGAAACGGCCGTTTTTGGGCATTGACAGACGCATTTTGGGAAATTCGCGGGTGGCCGGCGGGACGGGCCGAAGCCCACTGGGGAGTTCTTTTAGAAAAAGAACCAAAACCAAAACTGAATCATCCAGCACGCCGTGCACCCCTGCAAGCAGGGGGCGGCGGATCGAAGACGCCTACGGCGAATCACCGCCGCCCCCTGCCTTTGTGGAAGCGCCTATGTGGCCGAACGTTGAGGCCAGACCTGCCAAGCCATCGGACCATGTGTTCCCCGAATCGGTTTGGAAAGCCTTCGGGGAACACGTGGGCGTCTTGATGGTCATCGTCGCCGTCTTGGAGGCCTCTTGGGCGATCTTTCGGCGATCTTTGGGGGCTCTTGGGCCGTCTCGGGCCGTCGGAAGGCCGAAAGAAGGGAAATGCCCAAATCCATCAAAAACCTTGGGAAAATCAGTGATTTTGGCATCTTTTGGCCTTCCTGGAGGCCCTCTTGGGGGCCTCTTGGGCCCTTTTGGGCCAGCTTCGAGCCAACTTCGGCCATCTTGGTGGGTTCCTGGCACGTCTGACGCCGTCGGGAGCGTTTTGGGGGCCTGTCTGGGCCAACGGGGGACCCTCTTGGGGCGCTCCTTGGGCGTCTTGGAGGCCATCTTGGGCGTGTTGGAGGCCTCTTGGGCCGTCTTGGGGCCCTCTAGGGGCCATCTTGGAGGCCACTTGGGCCATCAGGGGGCTCTCTTGGGGGCCTCTTGGGCGATCTTGGGGGCTTCTTGGGCCGTCTTGAGCCGTCGGAGAGCCGAAAAGGCGCAAATGCCAAAATCCTTCAAAAACCAAGGGAAAATCAATGATTTTGGCCTCTTCGGACTCTCCTGGAGGACCTCTTGGAGGCCTCTTGGGCCGTCTGGGAGGCCTCTGGGGGGCCTCTTGGGCCGTCTTGGGCCGTCTTGGACTCTCTTGGGCCGTTTTGGAGGCCGTCTTGGACCATCTCGGGCGGACTTGGAGGCCATCTTGGGCCATCTTCGCGATTTTTTGAGGATGTCCCGAGCGAAACGGCCGTTTTTGCGCACGGTGGCGGGTTCTGCCGGAGCCCACTGGGGAGTTCTTTTGGAAAAAGAACCAAAACCAAAACCTAACAGCTCGTCCAGCACGCCGTGCACCCCTGCAAGCAGGGGGCGGCGGATCCTGGCGGCCTTCGGCCCATCCCGCCACCGTGCCTGCGTTGTGGGTCTGGGGCCTCTTGTATACAGTCGGGGCCCTGAAGAAGGAGCCCATTTCGTTGGGGAAGGGCTCCGCGTTCCTCGAGTGTTTCGCGGCTTGCCTCAGGTTTTCCTCATGCTTTCGATCGGGAAGTCGAAGTTTGATTCATGGAAAAAGGGGCCTCGTTCCTTATTTTGGGTTCCTTAGGTCAAGCCCCCGACTGTACAGTCAACGCGCCTAGAAAGGACGCGCGCCTTCATCTAGGGTGCCTCTGTGTCCTTGCCTCTGCGGCCCGTCGTTTCCCGTTTTCGCTGGTCGCCCGCCGGCCAAAGAATCCCAACTTCGGTTTCCAAGAGTCTTGCGTCCTTACCACCCGTCCTCAATACACATTTTCACTGTATTTGACAAAGTCGACACGCGCGCGTCGTCACGCGCGCATGCAGTTCTTTTTGTTCCGACAATCTGGGGCTTCCGCGCGAATCTCAGGATCGAGTTTTCCGAAACCAGATAAGCAATCCTTCGGTCTTGAAGCAGCACAGGGGGGGTGAGTTCGGTCCGTTGGCGCATCGAACCGCAGAAACACGATTCAAAACGAGGTCTCTGGCCCCGCCGGAGCCTGAGAGGCGTCGACAATCGGGGCGCGCGGGGGGCATCGTTTTTCGGAAATTCGATGCACCAGCGGATCGAACTCACCCACCCCCCTCAGGGTCCCTCCCCTTTAGTGGGCCCCGAACCGTCCCCTCCTTGCTGTGGTCAACACCCGCCCACAGCCTGCTTGCGATCGACGCCGAAATCGGCCATGTCCCTCTACAGGAGGAATGCCCAGGAGCAGTAAAACATAGTCGTGGGACGATTTTTCGTGCTCTTGTGCTCAGGCTTTTGTTTCAACAGTTTTTTGTTTGTTTGGGTTTGTTGTGTCAATTTTTAGGTTTTTGCGAAATCCGCCTGTAGGAGAATATGCCCGACCTAAGTTTACGCCCGGCCCAGCATCACCCGTATTCAGGTTCTCGCCCTCATCATCATCTCCGTCATCGCCGCTGTCGTCTTCGCCTTTGCCGCTGTCTCCGTCATCGCCGCCGCCCGTCATCGCCGCTGCCGTCTCGCCATCGCTAACGCCATCCTCGCCCTCGTCCTCCCGGTCGCCGTGGCCGCCGCTGTCGTCGTCGTCGTCGTCGTCATATGCTTCCTCCGCCCCCTGCTCGTCGTCTCGTCCTTGCCCTCGTCCTCCTGGTCGCCGTGGCCGCCGCTGTCGTCGTCGTCGTCATATGCTTCCTCCGCCCCCTGCTCGTCGTCTCGTCCTCGCCCTCGTCCTCCCGGTCGCCGTGGCCGCCGCCATCGTCGTCGCCGTCATGCTCCCTCCGCCCCCTGCTCGTCGTCTCGTCCTCGCCCTCGTCCTCCTGGTCGCCGTGCTCGTCGTTTCGTCCTCGCCCTCGCCCTCCCGGTCGCCGTGGCCGCCGCTATCGTCGTCGTCGTCATGCTCCCTCCGCCCCCTGCTCGTCGTCTCGTCCTTTGCGTTGCATCTTCGGGGGACCTCGCCTGTCCCGAAATTGGTGTCTTTTATTGTGTCCGACGCATGCTTGATGCGGACTCGACGCGGACTTGGCATGGATTCGACGCGGATTCGACACGGATCCGACGAGTCCGACGTGGATTCGACACGGATTCGACGCGGATAGGACAGCGACGGGACAGACGAGGCCCCCCGAGGATGCAACACAACGTCCTCGCCCTCGTCCTCCCGGTCGCCTCTCCTTCTCGTGGCCCTGCGGGCCGGACCTCGGGCCTCACCTCCAGAGAGCGCCCTCTCGGCGCGGCGCGGCCGTCGGAGGGCACCGCGGGCCTCGAAAACCTCCTCTCCCTCCTCTCCCTCCTCTCCCTCCTCCTCCTCCTCCTCCTCCCTCCTCCTCTTCCTCCTCCTCCTCCGCCTCCTCCTCCTCCGCCTCCTCCTCCCTCCTCCTCCTCCTCCTCCTCTCCCTCCCTCCTCCTCCTCCTCCTCCGCCTCCTCCTCCTCCTCCTCCTCCTCCTCCTCCTCCTCCTCCTCCTCCTCCCCCTCCTCCTCCTCCTCCTCCTCTTCTCCTCGTCCTCCTCCTCTTCCTTTTCTCTTCCTTTTTTTTTGCGTGGGGCAAACTTTGATCGACTTGGTTCGTAGCGTCAGGTCCTCCTCCTCCTCCTCCTCCTTTTTCTCTTCCTCTTCTTTTGCGTGGGGCAAACTTTGACCGACTTGGTCCGTAGCGTCAGATCCTCCTCCTCCTCCATTTCCTCCGAAGGTCTCCAGGGGGACAAGAGCCCCGCAGTGGTCGTGCAGCCCGCCTACCTCGTCACCGAGTCGCTGCTGTTCCCCGGGCTGGCGAAGGACACCCCGCTGAGCCCGAGGAAGCACAGGACGCCGGGGTGGCCGCGGGGTGGTGCTCGTCGAGCGTTTCCCATTTGGTGGGCCTCCAACTGGACTTCGCGTCGCCCTAGAGGAGGTGACAGTTTTCAGGCGTCTTCCTCCTTTCTCGGGGGCTTCTGTTTCAGCCCCTGGATGCCTTCCAGCGGCTGCGCCTCGCAGAGAGCGTCCTGGGGGTGCCCGGATCGTCTCGAACGCTCGCTGGAGCGCTGAGTCAGGACCCAGAAGCCACGGGGCAACGTTAGTCAGGAGGGGAAGAAACACACAGACACAATTAATCGTCGAGTCCCCAGAAAATATGGGAAAATATGGGAAGTGGGGGGGGGAAGACGGAAACCCAGAAAATATGGGAAAATATGGGGAAATATTCTATTTGTGTGTATTTATTTGTGTGTCCTGGGGCCCCTTCAGTTAGGGGGGGCGACGGGCGCAGGGAGGAATGCGTCGATCGACCCCCCATCCGCCCACTCATCTCCGATAGGGGCCCGGTCTGCCCGCCCCGCCCAGGGCCCTGCGGATTCGCCATCAGGTGGGCCTCGTCGAGGGCGCTCATCGCTCGGACGTGTGCATTTTTCCCTCGGCGAGGACCATCGAGGAGCATCCTTGATCATTCGGCGAAAAAGCCACGCACGAAACCCCGGGGGTGCCAGTGCCCTGCGCGCGGGCTGCGGGCTTTCGTCGGAAGTTTGCGAACGCTTTCTCCAGTGTTCGAACGTTTTCGTCAAAGTTTGAGGGTGGGGTGGCTACCATCAGTTGGGCCTCGTCGAGGGCGCTCCGGGAGTGCCAGGATCGTCCGAAGGTCCGTCAGAGCCGAGATGTGACCCGAAAATCACGGGGCAACGTGGGGGATATGACTCAGGGGGATGTGCACCGCCCCCCAGTCGCCCACTGATCGCCGATGGAGGCTCGAATGCCCACCCCGCCCAGGAACGTCCGGATTCGCTATCGGGGGCTATCGCCGATCTATAGGCGATGTGTCGCCGAGTCGAGCTCGATGTTTGCTGGAAAACCCGCTGTGGGCTCAACTTGGCCCTCGGGTTCTCGGGTAAGCAGTTGCTCACCAGAAGGCTGGTGCTCCCAGCTGGGTTGCCACAGGTAGGACGGCCCCGTCGGGGGCCAACTCCAGGGTCCGAATCTCGGATCTGGACGCCCGAAATGGGTACGGAAAGACTGGGTACGATGCCCAACAGCAGTTCCTGTTCATTTTGAACAGGACTCGCCGCCCGCGCCGCCGCGGCCTGTGTCCATTCGAGACAGAAGGCCGCTCGCCCAACAGCGGCCACTTTGAGTTTGGAACAGCATGCCGTACCCATCTCGGGCGCCCAAATTTTGGCGCTCCGCGCGGATTTCTTGGATCCGCGCTGGGGCCCCCTGGCGGCGCCCCTGGCACTGCCCCTGGCGCGCGGGGCGCGCCAGGGAGGGGCTTCTATCTATCCCAGATCCAAGACATCCGCGCGGAAATCCAAAAGTTGATGTTTATGTTTATGCCGTTTTTTCTTCCTCGGGCGTCCAGATCGGAGAGCTAAGGTTATGATGTTCCAACCGATTTTAGCCTCGACCACCAGAAAGAGTTTCGAGCACCAGGACAAAGGACCGAAACTCGAAGGTTTTCACGTGTCGGGCCCTGGGAGACACTCGTCCGACACTGATTCGACACTATTTCGACACTCTTTCGACACTTTTCTGGTTGCTCGAAATTATTTCTGGGATGTGGTCCTGAAGTGCGATGGGAGCAACATAAAGCTAAGGCCGAGCAGGCCACCCGTCGGCAGGTCTGCAGCCTGGAAGCCCCGCCCTGCAGCTATATCTTTGTTGGCGGCAGCTTGGGCCGACGGCAGCAGGCGCGCAGCAGCCTGCACGGCGCCGGAGGCTGCTCCTGCAGCGGATTCGCCCTCCGCCTCCTCCGCCTCCTCCTCATCCCCCTCCTCCTCCTCCTCCTCCTCCTCCTCCTCCTCCTCCTCCTCCTCCTCCTCCTCCCCCTCCTCCTCCTCCTCCTCCTCCTCCTCCTCCTCCTCCTCTCTCCTCCCCTCCTCCTCGTCCTCCTCCTCCTCCTCCTCCTCCTCCTCATCTCATCCTCTCCCCCCTCCTCCTCCTCCCCCTCCCCCTCCTTCTCCTCCTCCTCCTCCTCCTCCTCCTTCTCTCTCCTCCTCCTCCTCTCCTCCTCCTCCTCCTCCTCCTCCTCCTCCTCCTCCTCCTCCTCCTCCTCCCCCCCTCCTCCTCCCTCCTGCTCCCTCCTCCTCCTCCCTGCTCTGCTCCTCCTCCCTCCCACCCAGTTCCTCGGCCACCAGCCCGCCGCAGGCGCCCCGACGCAAGCGCATCCTGACGAGGCGCGCCCTCCGCTCGGCCTTAAAAAACACTGGCGAGGACCAGCTCGGGCACACGACAGCGCCTCGCAGCCTCGCCCGCGCGACAATCGACGGCGGCATTCCAGGATGGGGAACCACGATGGGCGATCCTGTTCAACAGTCTCTTCAGGCTTAAGACGAGATGCCATGAAAAGAATCGAAGTAAGGCCCCCCCATCGCACACAAGATTTTGCCCGCAGAATGCCACAAGTAAGCGCTCGGCCCTACAGGTGCCTCGCACAGTCGAGAATGGAAACCTCCAGAAACCGAATCACATTCTGCAGCATAGCACACCGCACCTGTCGAACACTGCTACGGGAACAAACATCCTTTCGCCGCGCGGCACGGCCTGTCGGCCTCCAGCCAATGGGCCGCTTGCGGATGCTCGAATGCGACGTGGACTGGCTGACGACGAGACTGCGAATGGATGCCCCGATCCTGGTGGAGCGCGGGCCCCTGGCGTGCTCGCCCCCGCCCGCATCTCCAAACAAAAATGAAAGGTCCTCCGGACTTCCAGTTCCCAGACGCCCTCCAATGGCCTCCGGCTGGGCGCCCCCAGCGATCCAGGCCTCCTCCTGAGGAGGAGGGGGAGCTCGAGCGCAGGTGCAGTGAGACGGCAGCAAGCGCTGGAGCCACAGGCGCGGCTCGGCTTCCGCCTGTGCAAAAAACGGATGCCACCATGCACTCGCTATCTCGAGGTGAGGCGATGACAAACATAGGGATAGGGACAGGTTCCAGGCTGGAAATATCTGCCTTCGAACCCGAGTGATTCTCGCATTCCCAAGCGCCGTGGAACGCCGTCTCTGGCTCTTGTCCTGCACCCAGGGCATGCCGCGTCAATATGTTGAGCGACCTCGCTTTCTCCTGCCAGCAGGTGCGAACCGACGCCACTCCCCAAGCGATCGGCACCAGAAGCTCCGACCAGCGCCGAGGTCCTTCCTCGCGCGCCGAGAGGCGACGGATAGGCCTCCAAAGACAGCGATCGCCAGCAGCCTGCCCCGCGCCTCCCCCACATTACCAGCCTCGAACGTATCCCTATCCCTAAGATTGACACGCCAAAAGGCGATGACAATCTTAGGGATTCGCCCTCAAAAAATAAGGGAGTCCCTAAGATTGGCATCGTGATGAGGAGATGCCCAGCATAGGGATAGGGATATGTTCCAGGCTGGTAACCACAGAAGTGCGCCGAGGCGCGGCCCCGCTGCAGGGCGCGCACGGTAGCTTCAAGATCGTCGAGCAGCGGGATAGGATCGTCGTCGACCAGGTTCCTTTTTCAGATCGGCCGCAGGGCACTTCCACTCCGCCAGATCTCCACAAACATCGCTATCTGGCCCAATCCATCCGCTGGGCTCGACAAGGTCCCATCACGCTTCCAGAAGTTACAAGATGACAGCACGAGTTGGCCCACGGACCAATCTAGAACGCTGCCTCTGACAGGGCGACAGCGTGCAGAAGTGGCCCTCGCGGGGGGACCCTCCTCCTCCTCCTCCTCCTCCTCCTCCTCCTCCTCCTCCTCCTCCTCCTCCTCCTCCCTCTCCTCCTCCTCCGCCTCCTCCCTCTCCTCCTCCTCCTACTCCTCCTCCTCCGCCTCCTCCTCCTCCTCCTCTTCCCCTTTCTCCTACTCCTCTTCCTCCTTCTCCTCCTCTTCCTCCGCCTCCTCCTCCTCCTCCTCTGCGGATAGCGTGCTTCTCGGAGATCGATGTTGCTCGCTCATCCGTATCGTGTATGCCACTCCACTCTGCGCCACTCTGCGCGGGAGTCTGAGGCCGCCAGTGCCGCCCAGGACACCGTACGCCGTCCGAGCGGGAATCCCCGTCCATTCTCTTTGTATCGGCGGCCGCCTCTCTTGCTGCGTGGCATCGCTCGGACGTTTTTTCTTCATTTGAGCGACGCAACAAAAACGGGGCCGTCTGCGACGACATTGGCGCGTAAGCAGCCCGCGTAAGGTCGCGCGTAAGCTTGCTCGTCTCCAATGCAGCGTGCCGCGCCAGCGGCCCGCATGAGCTGCGGCGAAGGTCGCCGTGCCATCCCGCGTAAGACCCGTTTTCGATCGTCGCGCGTCGGTCTTCGACGAGGACCATCAAGGAGCATCCTGGATCACTTATTCCAGATTTCGTAATAAAAGTGAGGGGGTCTGGACCCTCCAAGACAAGCCACTTCAGACCTCCCCCGTGGGAGAACCCTCCAAAACATCGTCCCCAGACCCCCCAGGCCCTCCAAGATAGCCTGGAAGAGACCCCCCCCCCGAAATGAGACCCCCCTCCCTTTATTACGAAGTCTGGAGTAGCCAGAGAAGCACGCACGCCTCTGACACATGCGTGGGGAGTGGGCGCCCGAGCGAGGGTGAGCCCGCTGCACTCGCGCGGGCCTGGCATGCCGCCTGAGGCGTCCTGTGGGCGCCTTGACGGTGCCGGCGCGCAGCCCGGGCGCTGCGCCTTTGTCTCTCTGCACACACGAAATGGGTATTGAAAGAATGGGTACAATGCCCAACAGCGGACCTTGTTCATTTTGAACAGGGCCCGCTGTCCACGCCGCCGCGGCTTGTGTCCATTCGAGACAGGAGGCCGCCTGCCCAACCGCGGCCGCCGGTTTGTGACAACATTTGCTGTTGGGCATTGTACCGTTTTTTCGGTACCCATTTCTGGCGTTCAAAGTCTCTTCGGGGCCCCTCGAGGAGCACGAACGGCAACGGCAGCCAGATGACAGGCATCGAAGAGGAAGGGTACTAAAAGTACTGATGAGGAGGCGGGTGCCAACGAGAGTGGTAGAAGATAGTGTCAGCATGTCAGCCAGCGTGGGCCCCACACATTGGCTTCTCGCAATCTCCGCGGTGTGACTGACCTAGGTGGTGCAATCCGTGTGGTGCAGTCTAGGCGGTGTAAGCCATGTCTGCAATTCTTCACGCTTCGCGTATCCCCACCAGCCCATTCAGAAAACCTGCCCTTCAAAGCTGACGGGCAAAGGGACGAAGAGACACATGTAGGGAAACAAAGCGAGCAAGGGGGTGGCCTTGGGAGGCCTCTTCGGGCCATGCCTGTGTGCCGCGTGGGGGCGAGGGGAAGAGGAGGAGGAGGAGGAGGACGAGGACTAGGACGAGGACGACGCGGACAAGGACTCATGGAACCATCTGGAGGTATTCTTGCGGCTGCTGCTGCTGCTGCTGGTGCTTTCTGGGAGTTTTGGGGGCTCTTTTGGAACCCTCTTGGTAACCCTGGAAGGCTTCTTGGGATCATCTGGGAGGCCATCGATTACAGGATGGGGGGGTCTCCAACTCAGCTCCCCCCTAAGGAGCCGGCAAACCGCTTCTTGGGGCTCTCTTGGAGCGCTCTTGGGCGCTCTTGGAACGGTCTTGGGGCCGTTTGGAGCATCTTGGGGGCCATCTTGAGCCATTTTGGGCTATCTGAGCCATCTTAGAGGTCATCTTGGGCTCTCTGAGGCCGCTCGGGGGCCTCTTAGGGGCCTCTTTGGGGCCTCTTGGGGCCCTCTTGGGACCCTCTTGGATCCTTCTTGGGGCTCTCTTTTGGCTCTCTTGGGGGCCCTGGAGCGCCTCCCGGGGCCATCTTCGAGGCAATCGATCAAAGAAGGGAGGGTCCCGATCGACGCCACCCCCTCGCGAGCCACAATCCTTGTGAGGGGTGTCAAACATTGGACCTCCCAGGAGCCGATCTTGGACGCTCCAACGGTTCGCGGCCCCTCCCGTCCAGGTCCAGGGGAGGTAGGGGGAGGGGTCAAGGCACCCTCTCTGCACGCAAGGCGTCTAGCTCACTCCCACCCTCCCTCCCGCCACATAAGTGGCATCCGAGTCTCGGCATAGCCAGGGGCCGCCACTGGATGGACAGCCACCGGGAACCAGAGCGGACGCCACGTGCGCGACGATCGCCGCGGGCTCCACATGCGGTTGGTGTGCCATCCTCGTGAAAAGCGTGATGCCCCCCCGTCCGCATGGTCCAGATGCTGATGTGGGGGGCGTCAGCGTTGTTCTGGGCCTTCGCGCAGTACGCATCAACATGCGGGCACCACCGCCGTCCCTGTCAACAAACAATACACCATGATCGCGGGTGGCCAGCACAATACCCACGACGTTGTCGCAACGTGCGCTTTGCATGGTTTTTGACAGGGATGGTGGTCCTGCACAAAGCGGCTTCACCAAGGGTGCCCCGCCATCCCTGTCAAACAACAATGCAACGTGCTCACAGGGTGTCCCCTGTGTGGCCCAGGGGGAAGCCCGCGTCTCTCTCTCTCTCTCTCCCGTCCCCTCTCCATGTCCTTCGCACCCTCAGCCTTTGAGGCTTAGGCCTTAGAGTCGGCGGGAGACTCTCTTGGCGTACTGAAGTATCTCCCTCGCCCCTCCAGCCACCCCCGTGTCCTCTCGTGGTTCCCTCACCCTTTGACAGTGGTAAGCGGAACTGGTTCGTGGATCAGGTGGAGCTCGATGACGAGGAGAGGGACCACACGACCCAGTGAGGATACCGAGGTTCCCAGGCCTTGGATTTCCACCAGCAGGCGCGAGGTCTGCCTTGACGGAGGTCATGGAAGCCGAATCCCAGACAGACCATCCCCAGGAGAACGAAGCGCCGCCAGGACGACGCGACGCAGAATCCTGGGCGGAGGCCGACTGGGACTAATGTGCATGGTCCGGGGGCTGGGGTTCAGCGGACAGATGAGATCGAGAGAGGTGGAGGGGTTGGTCCGCTCCGCAGGCAGGTGGTACGATTCAGAATGGCAGTCATCGGGGAGCTGGGACGTTCTTCCCAACCGCTCCCGAGACTACGGCCCACCACCCCAGTGGCTAGGCATGGAGCATGTCGAGCTGCACCGGCTCGACATCACAGCGTGGTCCAGGCGCACGGGGCACCTTCCAGAATCTCAGGCCCCTCGTCTGGTCGAGTCTCTGCCTGTAGAACTGCAGCTGCAACTCATGCCCAGAGCAGCGTCGCTCTTACAGGATGGCGTGCAGAAGGTGCAACGAAGGATTGCAAAAAACCCTTCGAAGGATTGCCAAAACCCCTATTCGAAGGATTGCAAAAAATCCTTCGCTTTTGCAATCCTTCGAGCATTTGGCCATCCCGAATGGCGAGCGCCCGGGCGACCGGGAGAGGCTCTCTCAGTCTCGACGACATGACTTTGACGAGGTGAGCCACGCACAGACCTCGTGCTGATCGGCGGCGCGCCCGGGGGGGAAGTGAAAAGCGTCGCTCTTACAGGAGGGCGTGCAATTCATGCCCATAGCAGCGTCGCTCTTACAGGAGGGCGTGCAGAAGGTGCTCGGGCATTTTGGCCATCCCGAAGTGGCGAGCGCCCGGGCGACCGGGAGAGGCTCTCTCAGTCTCGACGACATGATCTGACGAGGTGAGCCACGCACAGACTTCGCCTGGCATCGCTCGGACGTGTGCGTTTTTTCCTCGGCGAGAACCACTGAGGAGCATCCTTCATCATTTGGCGAAAAAGCCACGCACGAAACCGAAACAAAAACATAGGGAATGGACGTCCGAGCGATGGCCAGTTCGTGCTGAGGCGGGATCGGCACATGTCGACTACATGATCTGACGAGGTGAGTCACGCACAGGCTTCGTGCTGATCGGCGGCGCGCCCGGGGGGGAAGTGAGAAGGACAAGGCCTTTTCAGAAGGCGGTCGGACTTCTCAGAAGCCCCCGTGCCCTCTGAGGAGTTTTCTTGGTCTTCGGGGGAGGCTTAGAAAACTGCTCAGAAGGCCTGGGGACTTCCGAGCCTTCTGAGAAGGCCCGCCCCTTCTCACATCCACCCCGCGCTCGCCGCCAGGCTGAGGCGGGGTAAGCACATGTCGGGCGCCGAGGTGCGCGGCCTTCTTTTTCCAGATAGCGTTCGAGCTTGCTACTTCGAATAAGGGGGGCAATCTCACCGCTCGGAAGAAGGTCAACCTTCGGACTCTCGCCCAGGGCAAGACTGACGCGGCGTCGATCAGAGGAGCTCTTCTTCAGATGGACGTGGTCGAGCAGGGGGTCCTTCCTGCGGTGCAGTCGGCGCCGGTTGCGAAGTCCTTCGTGGAGACCACGCCGGGCGCCCTTGAGGAGTTCGAGGACGATGGAGACAGCAGTTGGACGAGGAGGAGGCCACCCAGGTCTTCGCAGCGGTAAGGGGGGATAAGTTCGGGAAGGAGCAGGGGCGCGCATGGACGGAAAGTCGCAAGTTGAAATTGGTCAACATGACCGACTGGGACTCCATCTCGCGGAGGAAGGCGGCGCGACCTGTTTTCAGGCGAGTTGGAGAGCGTGACGTTTGCCATTGCACCAGGTGCGCCAATTGCGGTCAGCGAGGTCAATGGGCTAGTGACTGCAAGGGCCCCATGCGCATCGAAGGCCGATCGTCTAGCTAGGAAAGACGAACCAGTTGAGTTCTCAGCCTTCAACTTCTCCACGAAAGACGAGGGCGCCTTCAACTGCGTGACGACGGACTGGGGCGATGAGATTCAGGAGTCACTGTGAGCCGACGGATCCAAGCCGCCCTGCCTCGCGGCGACCAAGATCTTGGGGGCGCATGCCCTGGTCGACGCGGCGGCGGCGACGGCGCTCATCGGCAAGAGGGAGATCCAGATCCTGGACGAGGGACTGCGTAGCGACTGGAAGATGGTGGCGGGCACCGCCGCCTCGGGCATCGGCGGGGTGACGGCGCCGATCGGTCGAGCTTGGCCCCCAGTGGATCCGAGGGGAAATCGCGTCGTGGAGTTTCTCAAAACCCCGGAGCAGAACTGCCTTCCGCTGCTGCCGGCGAAGCTGCTCGCGGGCCTAGAGAGCGACCTGGCGGGCAACGTGCTGGTGGTCAACGACGGAGCTGTACGACGTCCCGCGAGAGTTCCTCTGGTGACATACCCTTCCGGCCATCGCGCAGCGCCCGGCCGCGCTCTTCGAGGACTCGCCGGACATCGAGAAGCCGTTGCCCTGCGCGAGCTTCCTGAAGGGCCGCCGCCCAGCCGCCAGCTCTGCAACCTGTCTTGCCTCTGCCGCCTGTGCCAGCAGTCTCTCCCTGTCCTTCTCCCCGTCCTCCAGGTTTCTCCGCGGTCCACGGGGGTTCGGACAGCGGGCCCAACCGTGGGCGCGTGGCCCGGCGCGATCAGGAGTGTCTGCAGGGATCGCAGGCCCAGGCGAGCCAAGATGTCCAGCGGCCATGGTCCCAGGGTGCGAGCGGCCAAGCCCCCGGCTCCGCGCCGGGCTGGGGCGAGGAAGGAGGCGGGTCGGCTCGTCAAGAGGATCGGTTTCGACTGGAGCGGGCTCCGCGAGGCTACGAAGGAGGCGGCGCGGTCAGGGGCCCCGGATAATCCCGACCAAATGATGGGCTCGAAGGAGCTGCCGGACCAGGGCCGCCAGGAGGGCCCGGAGCTAGACGCGACGCTCGAGCTCGAGGCAATGACGAGCGAGGACGAGCAGGAGTTCTACTCGGGCTTCATGCTGCTGCCGATCATGTTCCACCACTGGCGCCAGGTGTTCATCCGTCTCTCCTGGCACGTGACGACCTATTCCCAGGCGATGCTGGTTTCTTTCGAGATGCCGAACCTCTGCAACCCGTCCGAGAAGGTCAACCCGGACGAGTGCCCCCGCCCGCTTCATGCGCGCTTCGAGTCGGAGAACCAGCGTGGGCGGTGCGCCAAGTCCATGACGTACTCTGCTCGGGTGTCGTACGTGCCTCTTACGGAGGAGGAGAAGATCGAGCAGGCGAATCACATGTTCGAGAACGAGAGGGCGAATATACAACGGAAGAAGACCCGCGAGTACATCGAGGCCATGAAGTCGGAGTCGAAGGAGCTGGTGAGGAGCTTTGACGGAGGCGATCCTTGGGCGCCAGGGCTGTCGAGCCCCCCGGCCGCGGTGCCAAATGGCCTCGAGCCTCCCGTCCTGATGGTCAAGGCGGGCCCCGGATACGTTCCCGCGAAGCCCCCGCCTCCCAGTCTGGCGTCCGCTCGGAACGCGGCGAAGGCGTCTGCACCGATGAAGCCCATTACGGCATTGGGGATGCAGCAGGTTTTAGCCGACATGCACGTGGCCATCGAGTCCCAGCGGGTCGCGACCGACCAGACATTTTCCCACATCAGCCGCGTGGTCTAGGAGCAGGGCGACCGCATGAAGACGGTGCTCCACCTGGTAGGCTCACGGCCGCTCTCCCTGACGGACGAGGACTTACCGAAGGTGGTATTGCTGGCGCAGCGCCTCGCCTCGAGCCCGACCTTTGGGTGTGTCTAAGCTCCGCTGCGCGCCGTTTGTGCGGCGTTGGAGTCGAGGGGGATCCAAAGCGGATCCAGTGGGGGAGACTAGGAGTCCAGCGCGCCTCGCCTAGGGGCGTTTTCATGAAGGATCCCGGGGTTCCGATGAATCGCTTCAGTGGCCGAGAGCGTATCCGAAAGGCGTCCCGGGACATTCTGGGATTTTGGGGCGAAAGGGCCCGCGGGCTCCATGTCGGTCCTGGGTTGTGTCGGCGCGAGGGATGGTGTCCACGACCTACGCTCTCTCAGCGCCGTGAGTTCTTTATTGTGATGGCGATCGAGGCCCGTGGAGGCAAAGCCCCGCCCCCCTTGCCCCCTCCTGGCCCCGCTGGTTGGAGGTCAGGATCTCAAGGGGGCCCCCTCTATCCAGCACTTTGGGCCGCCTCTGGCTCTCGCGAGATATCGGGTGCTGTGCGAGTGTTTTCCGTGGGTGGCCTGGCCGTCGCGTTCTGGCGCGAGAAGGCCGAGGAAGGAAAGGGGGGGGGGCTGCAAGTGCTAGAGGATGATCGCTTTTCGGCGGCAGCCTTAGACGGGGCTTAATCGAGATCGCTCCCGCGCCTCCGTCCGCCCCCGGGAAGGTCCGAGAGGCCGCGGCGCGAGCCTTGGATGGTCTTGGCCTCGGGTGAGGCCGCCGAGCTCGACGCGAGATCATCGAGGATATGGGTCCAGGGGAGGAGCGTTCGCCCCTGCTCAGTCCAGCTGAGGTTTCGGCCGAGCTCGATCGCCGCGGGCTCAGGGCTTCCCCTGCCCTGGACATTCTAGTTGGCACGGGTCTCCACTTTCCCGGAGGCGGGGCTCGCATGTGGGATCACATAGACAAAGACAAGCCTCTCTTCGTGCGGGTGACACCGACGTGCAAGGCGTCCTCAGCAACTCACGCCTCCAATTGGGGGCAGATGAACTCCTTTCTTGATGCCGGGCAAGAGGAGAGGTCTTGCGGTATCCCAGCTTTGCATGGAGATCGCCGAGTTCCAGATTTCAAGAGGGCGCCTCTTTGCACTAGAGCACCACGCCTCAGCGAGTTTCTGGAAGCTCGAGTCGACCCGTCGCGTCCCGGGCCTTCCTGGAGTCGGCCGCGAGACCCTGTGCCAGTGCATGTGTGGTGTGACCGTCGACGGGGGGGTCCTTCCAAGGAGCCGACCTCCATCGCGTCGAACTCGTTCGGTGGGCCACTCGCGCGTCGACCTCGTCGGCCGCGCCGTGGCCAGCGCGGCGGAGAAGTTCCCGCGGGGGCAAGTGATGAGCCTGGCGACCGGAGTTGAGGACGCCGTGCGGGGCTCTCACCGGCATGCCCGTCTTTCCGACGAAACTTCTTTCAGGGGGCAGTGGCTGGGTTTTTCCCGTCGGGGAGCGAGACCCCAAGCCGTCCGGGGCCGAGTCTCAGTCCGAGCAACCCCGAACCCCATTTCCAGCCCCGGGTCCCAAATCTTCAGTTCTCTCCGACGAGCTCCAGAGGGGAGTGGCTCGCCTTCGTTTGAATTTGGGGCCACCTTCGAGATGGGGATTTCCTTAGAGCGCTCAGGGTGGCCAGGGCTCGCCCTGAAGTTTCGACTTGGGTCCGGGACCATTTCAAGCGCGACCGATGTCTCTCTAGCCGCCGCGTTAGTTGGTGGAGGGAAGCGCGCCTTCCCCCGCGCCTGCGCGTTTGACAAAATGCTGGCGCTGGATCTTTTGCGCTGATGTCTCGGGCAAGGCCATCCCGTTCTTCGCGTGATTGACCGTGGCGCGTCCTTTCAGCAGCGTTGCCTTCTCCCTGACGACGCCGCGAAATCAGTTTGGGCCGCTTTCCTGCGGCGGTGGCCGCGGCGTTTCGGGGCCCCCGAGATGATCGCGCGGGAGGGGGTGTTCGAGCCCGCATGTTCGCGAGGGCGCGAACGTGGCGGCATTCTTCATCGCATCGTCCCCGCGAAGCCCCCCCCATGAGAACGGGGGGTGTGAGCGCCGCGGTGGAACCGCCAAGGGTGCATTCTCGAAGGCTGCCCTCGCCGTGAGCCCCGTGTCGGCGGAAGAGACCGACCTGCTGTTGTGCGTGGTTATAGCTGCGAAGAGCCGATGTTGCATCGAGGGGGGCATTCGCCCTCGCAGCTCGTGTTTGGTTAGAACCCCCGCATCCCTCGCCCCCTCCTGCCCGACGACCCCCTCGACCTGATGGGGTCCTTGGACGTCGCTCAGCTGTCGGCGGACATGGGCTCCGCCACGGGGGCTTTTGCGAGACAGCACTGGGTCAGGGAAGAGCCCCGTCGTGTTCTCATGGCCTTCGACGTCGAGTCCAGATTGGCCGAGGCCTGCGACGCCGAGTCCAGTCGACGTCATGGCGAGGCTGCGCTGCGATCGCGAGTTCCGCCCGGGTGCCTGCGTATGCGTCTAGGCGCGCCGCGGCGGCCAATCGGTCGCACTCTTTGCAGCGCGATCGCTGGGCGGGCCCGGGCGCGGTGGCGCACTGGGCCAGCGGCTCAGAAGGAAGCGAGGGGGGCGCGGCATGGGTGGGCGATGCGATCTAAGCTCCTTAAGTGTCCGCCGAGCAAGTCCGCCCGGCGACTCGACCGGAAGAACCCCTCGGGGCCGAGTTGCTCGAGAGTAATGCCATTGACAAGCCTCGCGTGGAAGTGCGGGGCCCCGGGAGGCGAAGTCGGGCCATCGACGTGGCTGCGGAGGGCCCCCAATTCCCCGGAGGCTCTTGACGCCCCCGATGCCGCGGCACCGTTCCCCAGGGAGTCTCTGTCGAGGACCTTGCCTTTCCGGCTTTCGGCGTCCCGGGATATCCCTTGTCGCGGTCTCGCCCCTCCGGGGAGATGGCCGAGGATGCCCCCGCTTCCTGCAGGCTGGGTCAGTCGCTCCGACCGAGTCCGTCTCCGCAGGGCCGGCAGCCCCCCCCCTGCCCCCTCGGAGACTGGCCTGGTTCCTAGGTCGCAGTCGGACGTCGCGAGAGGTCCAGAGGGGCCCAGGCCCGAGGGCCGACTTGCAGGCGGGGCCTTACCTCCCCGGGGGCCACGCTCCAAGCAGCTCAGGCATGCCCTCATGGAGTTCGATGGTCGCGACCTTCCGCCCGGGATCTGCGCGGGCCCCGCCAGTGGCGGAGCCCGCCGCGTCGGCAGATGATGTTCCGATGCCCTCTGCCGTCCGGGCTTCTGGCGCCGCCGGCCGCTTCCGATCGAGAGGAGTCGAGGGCCCGAAGCAGGTCCCCAGAGGGGGAAAGGCCGGCGGGGGGGAGGGTGCCAGCGGAAGAGAAGACCCATGGTCTGGATAGGGCGAAGACCAGGGCGAGACATTATCCAGCGAGCTGCGAGGGTGGTCCGCTCGATCGGGGCCTCTGACTTTGCTTTGTTCTTTCTAGGTGACCTCGACGACGAGGCCAGTTCTGTTTCTTCGATGCCGGTGGCCCAAGGGAAGCGCGTGGATCCTAGAGGGGCGGAACTTCGCCTGAGGGATCTCCCCCCCGAAGATCGGAGGCGGTTCGCCGAAGTTGACGCCGGGGAGTGGAACGCAATGCTGGCAGCGGGAGCTGCGCGCGTGCTAGCCCCAGAAGGGTCCCCATTGGCCCGCCGTCGCCACCCCGACCGCATTCTGTCCTTCAGGATGGTGCGCCGGCTCAAGCCGGTCGAAGGAGTCGGGCCCCTTCCGGGCCCCAAGTTTCGCGGGTGCGTTCATGGCCATTGAGATCCGGATAGCGAGACCCTGGAGGCTTACTTACAGTCCCGCGCCTCAGTCGGAGAGTGTGCTTCTGGCCCTTCAGGTCGTTTGGTTCTTGGGTTGGCCCCTGGCCATCGCAGACGCGAAGAATGCGTTCTGCCGAAGCAAGAAGCTCGAGAGGCCCCGGGATTCGCTCAATGTGGAGCCTTGTGCCAGACTGCCATTGGGACCCGCGCGGCATTCTTTGGCGCGGGTCGCGCCCCCCCCCCAGCGCGCGCGCAAGGGCGCGCAAGTGATTTTGGCTTGCGGCGTCAGTGGCCCGCTCGGCAGAAACCACGAACATGCTGAGACACCTTCGGCGTTCGTAAAATTCGCAGGGGCGCGCGCGAGCTCGTGGCGAAGGCATGTGTTTGGGTTTTTTTTTCGCGAACTCGCGCGCTCGTGGACGTTGGCCCGATTTCGACGCGCGCTCGAAACCCGTTTGGTAGCATGCTATGAACATGTTGAGCAACCTGCTCTGTTGTGCGCGCAATTCTATATATCAGAATGTATGTCTGTATGCATGTATGTATATATATATATATATATATATGTACGTATGTATGTATGTATGTATGTATGTATGTATCTGTATGTATATACGTGTGTGTATACACTTGTATATATATATATATATATATATATATATATATACGAAACGGGGCTGCGCAACGCTGTTTTTTTGTCATGTTTTGCGTGCGTCTGAATTGGGAATCTTGACGAGACCGTCGGTTTTAGATAGATTTCGGCATGCGCTCGCGACGACGCGCGCGTGCCTTTTGCCGCATTTGTTGCGTGGGATTTGTGAACATTGACGCTCGTAAACAAGCGCGGGGAGGGGAGGGGAGGGGGGGGGGGCCGGGCGGCGCCCCCCTGGGATGGCGTGGGCTCGCATGTAGGGCGGGCGAGCAGGGCAGGGCCACATGTAAATTACAGTCGGGAAGAGGGGGTTGATAATCCCGGTGGGGGGGGGGGGGCGCGATATATTTCTGGCCCCCAATAGGAGAATCTATGGTGTGCAAATAATCTTGACCGTCTTGAAGCTGTCCTCTCCACTGCTCGTGCAAACATCCCACCCTCCCACCCGCAACTTGGTCGCAAGACATCTTCACACAAGACCGTGACGGTATGTACTGCGTGGCACTTGGCCACGACACCGATGCCGACGACGACAGCGACATCGACGACGACGGCGCCGCCGACAGCGACTGCGACGACACCGACGACGTCTCCAATGTTTTCGACGACGACAACGAC